GGAGCGACCAACCTTGAGATGGGTATGCAAGCGGTGCATCGACCAGGTGAGAAACGGACGCTTGTTCGTGCTGGAGAACCCCATACGGAGCCGACTATGGGAGGAGGATTGCGTCATGGAGCTGGCTGCCATGGAGGGTGTCTTCGTCACGAAGGTTGACGCAGGCGCTTTTGGAGCCGTGGACTTGCAGGGCTACCCGACCATTAAGACCTACAAGCTCCTCACCAACAGCAAGGAGATCGCAGCTGAGGTGGGCTGGCAGCTCACACAACAACAGCGCGAACAATGCCGTCCGCTCGAAGGCAAGAACGTGACCAACAGCCAGGCGTACCCCACCGGCATGGTAAGGGCACTTCTTTGGGGACTTCGTCGAGAAGCCAAGATGCGGAGTGTCAACCGCTTTGACGAGGACGAAGAGGCCCACTCCGTTCTGGCGGCACAACCAGTCGAGGACGAGGCAGCATGGAGAGCTACCCTGGATGAGGTGACCAAGATCTTTCGCACCAGCTCCGTGAAGTCGATCAACCTCCCTCATGGTCACGAGATTCATCAACGAGTCGCGCAACGCGTCCCCTGGAAGCTCACTCGGGTGCAGATAGCAGCAACACCCGCATCACGGAGGCTTCCTTGAGACATCATCTACACCCACCGCGGATGTGCTTTGCTCTACAACGATGGGGGCATGACACAGGCTCCACGGTGGAGTTCCCAAAGCAACGTTTTGGGAAGCCAGTTGCCGCTGGTATCTTCTGGCACGGCGAGGCGGAGGAGGAGATTCATCAAGAAGAGGTCACCGATCCAACCTTGCCGGTGCCCGGTCTGAAGACCGACATTACCTTTCCTGGTGCCCCAGCTACGACCAAGAAAGAGGTGATGACCTCCATCGCCAGGCTCCACATCAACGCTGGACATCCAACGGCAACTGAGATGAAACGCCTCTTGGTCATGCACAGCGCCATCAATGCAGGTACTCTGACGGCCTTGGAGCACTTGGTGTGTGGCACCTGCGAGCGCAGCAAGAAGCCGGACGCTCCACGACCGGCTTCTATCCCCAACTTGAGCGAATCCAATGCGACGTGGTGTGGATACGAGAGCTTCAAGGACACAACCACCCCATCCTCGGCATCGTGTGCATGTCCACGAATCTCCAGCAGGCGATCAGGATGGTGTCAAGATCGCCATCCAATGCCTGGCTGCGACCATACGGATATCCGCTATCCATGGAGGTCGACATCGATGGCAGCTTTGCCAGCGAATTCAAATGGCACATAGAAGCCGCTGGAGTTCATCTGGCCTATGTGCCTGCAGAGGCTCATTGGAGGCTGGGGGCAATCGAGAGGCGGAATTCAGTTTTGCGGACGGCGACGGAGAAGTTGATCGATGACAACGGCGTCACCTCCGGCGAAGGCTTAGACATGGTGCTGCTGGCAGCTGTACAAGCTGTAAACAGCTCGACTCGGCAAGCTACCTCGGTTTCCTGGTGACCTGCTCTCGGATGAGAGGGCTTTGATGGTGCATGAGCCGCACTTGCTGGCCAACAAGCTCAGGTCCCAGGCGTGCAAGGTGGTGGCAGAGATGAAGGCATCATCTGTGGTGAGGAGAGCGCTCCTCAGAAAGACTGCGGCAAGCCTTGAACAGGCACGGCAGATCCTGCCAGGTTCTTTGGCAGCCTACTGGAGGTGGAGCCGCAAGGCCTACGGACGCAAACGAGGAGGATACGTGCTTGGGCGATTGGTGCAACACGACAGCGACAACAAGTCAGCATGGCTACACAACGGCTCTTCCGTGGTGCAAGTGTCCTACGAACAACTACGACCAGCTGTTGGCATCGAGTCCTGGTCTCCCACGTTGGACGACATCAAGATCCTCAAAGAAGGTGCCCTTCGTCTTTGGCAAGGTCTTTGGGAAGACGCCAGAGGACCAGGACCACCAGAAGGCGAGAGCCTAGACGTCCCCATGGACTCACACCAGTCACCACCAGTACTCCACGAACCACAACCACACCTGATGGCCGGTAACCTGTCACAGGACCAACCTCACGAACAACGACCGGCAGTCATGCCAGAGCATAACCAGCCTCACGAACAACCACCACAAGCAGACACCGGCGGCGAACAAGCACAGCCACAGGTCAGCACCTACACGCAACAGAACATTCAGAACATCCACCAGCATTTCGCGCCACAGCGCGAACGGCGGCCAAGAACAGGACCATACGACAGCCACCCGCATGGTGAGCTACTCCCAGGGACACCGGGAGTTGAACAACTGGCGGCAGCAGCGACACCAGCACCAGCAACAATTCCAGTGCATCAGCTTGCAGAAGACATTTACCCACCAGCCGGCAGCGACTACCACATGGACAGCCAACACGCAGCATCGAGCTCCAACGAACCCATGGGCGTTGAACCAAGCCCCGGCGGGAGCGTTGATGACATGATCGTGCGCGCACCATCTGACGCACGGTCGACACAAACAATCACGAGCAGCAACGATGCAGGACCCGGCGGCATTTCACAAGCAAGCAACCACACAGCATTGATCGCACACTGGAACGACGACAATTCCATCGTCCTAGAGCGACCGCCCGACAACTGGGACGGACGACCCGAGATGGTCGTGCACGACTACTGCCGCACCTACAGAACCTTGGCAGCCAAGGTGGAGGAAGAGATTGTGTCAAGCGACACAAGCGAGGACGAGAACGGCAAGGAACCGAGCATCAAGAAGCTCACCAACCAGACAGGAGCGCAAGGCCATGGACAGAGAGATTTCCTGGCGGGTCATCGCCAGAGGACCACGGGATGTCTTCGACCTCTACGTCAAGGCCAACCGCAAGGAGTTCGACTCGTGGAACTCCTGGGGAACAATCAGGCCGCTGAGTGAGAAAGAGACGCAGCAGGTTCTCAACGACAGGATCCTCAAGCGGCGCATCATCCCTGCACGTAACGCGTACCGAGATAAGCTCCGTGGTTCCGGTGACCACATACAAGCAAAATGCCGGACCGTAGTCGTTGGCTGTCAAGACCCCGACCTCTGTCGGCTGCATCGAAGCTCTCCAACACCGAGCAAGTTTGCAGAGATGACAGTCATCCAGTTGGCCGTCTCGGGCATGAACAAGCAGATCGAGCTCACGGGACTTTCATGGAACCTATGGGCTGGCAACGTGAGCACGGCTTTCTTGCAGGGCGAACCGCAGGAAAGGGATCTGCCCCTCTTCATGAGGGCACCGCGGGACGAGATCCAGAAGGAAGCCAAGACGTTCCCCGCGGTTCTCTACGAAGTGCTCGGAAACCTTTATGGGTTCGCTTCGGCTCCGAGAACGTGGATTACCCACGTCATCAAGGTGCTCCCCCCGGCGGGAACATCCTGGTCATCCTGATAGTGCATGTGGACGACTTTCTTGTCGCCTACCGCGAGGACTATGACATCAATGATTCACCTGGGGCACGACCACGTTACTTGCCAAGAAGGAGACCAAGATCATGGACCTCAAGGCCATGTACGAGGCCGTGGATGTGGCTAAGCAGACCAAGGAGGACGGCTTGTTCTTCCAGAGCGTCCCCTTCAACAAGGCCACCGTGCTCCTGGGCTACAGCGACAGCTCATGGGCCAACGCAGAGGGCCACAAAAGCCAGATGGGTACGCTCACCCTGATCTCATCGCCCGACTGCATGGACCACATCAGCAAGGCCAGCGTTCTGGACTGGAAGAGCGGTCGTTCACCTCGAGTGACGAGGTCAACACTTGCGAGCGAGGCCAACGCTATGGACGAGTGCGTGGACAGAACCACATATGCAAACCACTTTTGTCGGAGCTGCTCTGCCAGGACGAGCCCAGGGAGATCGGCGCTCGCCTCTTGCAGCTGCAGGTGACGGACTGCCGGTCATTGCACGATGCTGTGATCAGTGACACCCCCTCACTGAATGAGAAGCGCACCATCATCTCCATCCGCAGCATCAGAGCTTGGTTGAAGAAGCCCTACGTGCAGCTGTCTCAGCCTGAGGATTACCTCGGCAAGAACGCCAAGGAGCCCCACATCAAGGCGAGAAGTAAAACATAGCAGTGTGAATGTGGCAGCCAATGTGCATGAATGCCGCTCGCCTTATGTGCCCAAGCGGGCCCCTTGAGTCACTTTCCTTTTCAGACGCGCTGGATGGCGCTGGCAAAATGAGCGCGCTGCTCTGAGGTGGCAGCGATCCCTTGCAGCTTTTCGTTGTCACAAGACCTTCAACATATCATTATTCAGTTTTCATGGCTTCCCTGCGCCACCCTCTTGGACATATGCTTGAAAGGCTGTTTGAGTAAGAGTTTCAATAAACATTCGTCTGTTTGAGACCTCAGTTGGCTTTGCTAGCTTAGGATTTCCTTAGGTATCGGCTTCGTAGTAGTTGTGCTGCCAGGGCTCGGCGGCCATAGTTTCCCGCGAAGCAAACATTGTTTTTGTATGGCCCACCCTTTCTTGTTGTCAGGCAAGGGAGTAATTTGGGAAGACCTCTTTGCAAAGCGATTGATGAAGATGCCTATACCAGCAACTTCGAGGGCCGCATTCGTTAATTTTGTCGGCCATGCGTTCGGTGTGTTCTGGTGCTGCGCCATTTGGTCCTCTCATCGATTCAACTTGTGGGACTGAATATTTGAATCCAAAAATGAACAGGGCACAAGCTGCAGCGAAGCTGCAGGGCGCTTCAAATCCATTCACCATTGCCACGGCGCAAAACACTATGTTGAAATGCTATTTCAAATCCGACAGCTCTTGAGAGCTGGGCAAGGGACTGGTCCCCCAGGCAAGTACCTTTTGCAAGCCTAGAGCCTTGCCAGGGTACACAGGAAACAGGCAGGAGTGAAGTACAAAGTTTGTGCCAGCCAAAATGCCCAAACCATTGCACAGCTGCTGACTGTCATTGCCAAACCATGCCAAACCCACCCAATCCACACCTGAGGGAGACGATGTGTGCAGACAAATGGGGCGCACTTTAAGGTCGCATGTATCGCGCCAGGCAACTTGCAGCCCATCAGGCACAGCCTGCTCGGGCACTGGCAGCCGACAAGCAAGAAGCTGCAGGCATTCCACATCATGTACAAGGCGAGCACGGGGCACCTCGTGATTGCAGTGAGATCCCAGAGAAATCAATCTTCGCCAGGGCTGCAAGGAGCAGAGAGTTCTGAAACTGCACATTCAAGGTGGCGATCACATTGCCGCTGGGATTTGGAGTGTGAGCATGCGGTTTAGACATCCAACGGGTTGCCTACAAGGCAGCCTTGTGCATCCAAAGCCAAGGATTGGCTTCGCCCAGCGCAGGACAACTTCTATGTCGGAAAAATCACATCCTGCGAGCAGTGGCTGCGTGTGCGCTCCCTGGGGCCTCGCGAAATGGAGATCCAGTTCAAGAAGCGGGAAGCCTGGCAGCCCGCCATCAAGGCCGTGGAAGTTTTTAGGGGGCATTGAGGGAATGCATGGAAACGCATGGAAACGCATGGGAACGCATGGGAATGCATGGGAATGCATGGGAATGCGGGATCCCCAGAATCCGGAAGGCTAAGCGCCGCCAGATTCCAGCGCCGCACCAAGCACTGGAACTGGCCAAGGAGCCAGAGGCACAAGCTTCACAAGCACGCCGCTTTCCTGCAAGCAATTCGCGAGTCAAGCAAAGTTTTTAATGCTGGATGCTAGGCAACAATCTGTGCAGAAATCGTTTTCAGACACTCTGTAGCAGTTCATTGTGGGCAATGGGTGATTTGTTCGCAGGCTCCGCCGGCGAGCCAATAGCAAGACACATTCTGCAAAGTCGCCAAGGTGCCGAATTGCCAGCAGTGCTGGACTATGATGGCTGCCGCAGGGACCTGCTGGAAGCAAGTGGGTGGCATTTGCCACCCGACTGGGCGAAGGATGGCCTCTACAAAGGACTGTGCCATGGCACAATTATAGTAACATTATCATGAGAAGGCCCGCTCGGCATATTATGTTTCTAGAGAACAGGGACGACCTTCTCGCTTTGCTGCCAGCTGATAGCTAGATGGTCGGCCGCCTTGCATCTCTCGCGCGCACGGACACACCTTGTTCGAACTGGTTTTCAAACCGGACCTTCCGACCTAGAATGGCTTGAATGCAATGGGTGCGCTGAGGGCCAGAAAGGGCGATCCGATTACCGTGCGATCGGTGGAGTTCCGCTTTAACGCCAAGTTTGAGCAGGCCATACATTTACGGATGCGCATTGAGAGCTGTGCGTGTTTGACGAAAGTGTGGGGCAGCGCCCGCTCAGGAGTACATGATAACCTATAGCCCGTGAATCAATTTTCAAATTAAGAGAGAGAGAGAGAGAGAGCTACTTGTATTGTATTTGGAGCGTCGCAGGATCCTTTACAAATACCGTCAGAGATTTCGGAGGGGCTGTCCCATGCACCTTTGCATGACGTTCTCTCCCTAGGTTGATGACAACCAGTGCTACCTAGCCACCTATGTTGGTCAACCCGACGGCAGCTTGGGACCCAGCCTGGAAAATGTGTCCAACCTGCCACTTGGCTCAGAGAGTGCTAGAACCAAATTCAGCTTGTCGGCTTTGTCATCGAGCATGTACTTGTTCGGGAGCACAGATGGCAAATGGCAAGGTGCCCAGCGTGTTTGTCGTCAGGTTGGACTGTCCCTTCAGCGGGCTGTGTGTCCACCGCGTGGATAAACTCGCGTTGGGCAACTTCCGCCTGGGCGTCATCACAGGACCCTCAGGCAGCGGCACCCTAGCTGCCTGAAAGGTGACATGAAGCCGGCCGTGCGGTTGATTTTTCATCAGCCTGTCCAGGTTGTGCGTGGTACCCTCTGACTTTGGTGCCCAATCTTATGGGGTGCAGCTCAGAGATTGGACATCGGTGAGAATTGGCAGAGTCTTATTGTAGGGGAGAGCTTGCGCAACGGGTCATGGTTCCGGCGCAGTTCTATGCGTCCAAGGCTTGTTAGACCACGCTACTGTGGATGGACGAAATCCTGCGAAGCCCTGGAATGATGATTTTGTGCGGTTACCAACAAACAATGGTTTCATGGTTTCAGAATGGGGCAGATATTTGGTCCATCCACAGTACGTCATGACATTTACGGCAAGGGAAGGTACTTGACTACCCTACTTTGTGTTGATGTCTGGGTTTGATGCTTGTAAATGTCTGGCAGCAAGCCAGTGATTGTCCGTTAGCCAAGGCAAAAGCACACTTGCGCGGGACATGTTTGGACCTAGCCCCAAGGTGTCATGGCCGCTTGGCTAATATGCACGCGCCTGTGCCCGGTGCAATCGTCTTTCATTTGTTGGTGTGTGTTGGTGTATAAACATGAGAGATCAATTGTCGTTGTGTTTGAACAGTGCTGCTACTGACACATACTGACCCAGGCCCAGTTTGTGTGTGTGCGCGTGTGTGTGTGCGCGTGTGTGTGTGTTCACATTCTGTTATGCGTGTTTGCGTGTGTGTGTGTGTGCATTGTTCGAGAACATTTAGAATCTATGCGTTTCATTGTGGTTCGATGTGTGTGTAGCCTCCAGGTTGGAGAAGCAACCAGTGCTGGCACATTTCTCTTCTCCGGAGAGAGCAGCAGATGTTCTCGCCGCCGCGTCCCTGGATCGGCGCACAGCCATGCGGCCTTATGATGCACTGAGCGGCGGAGAGCAGGAGCGGGGGGAGATTGGTGAACAAAACAAATCAACGTGCCTCCTCATGCCAAATATTGGGCCCGCTCCCATCTCAAATTTTTGCTGACGGAAATGTTTTTGCCAAAGCCGGCCGCTTGGGAGCCCTACGGGAAGCATCAGCCGTGGGTGCGAGAAAGCAATCGCAAATCGAACACCCTGTGGAATGTTAGTTCATGTTGCTCAGGCAAGGCAACTAAGGGGCAATGCACTTTGCGGTGTGTGTGTGTGTGTGTAGGCGTAGTTTCTGCAGGCAGGCTTGTGACTCAGCCAAAGGAGATTAACAGAGGGTGTTGAGTATGCTGACCTAAACAAAGTGCCACCCCCCACTGGCAGGGCTTGTTCTTTTGCCAGAATCCAGGCTCGCGCGCACTTGGCCCGCATCCTGGATCTTGTGGACACGTGGAAGAAGGCAAGGACGCCAGTGTTAACAAGGTCTTGCACTATGATGGCACAGCACAAGCGCTTCAGCATGTTGCCCGGACAGACCCTGGTGATTGAAGAGTTCACAAGCCTTGTGGATCGCGCCACTGCGAAGAAGATGGCGAGGGGGCTCCAGAAGTTTGTCAGAAAGAGGACCCGCACGGAACCGCATCACGAATTCACCGGTCGGGTCTAGGTTGGGCTGGGTTGCTTTGGTTGAATTTGTCAGCCCTCGGCTTTTGGAATACGTGCAGGCAGCCAATCAATCAGCGAGAATGTGATCACTGGGCAGGTCGAGCAATCAAGCAGGGAATGAGTCGATCAGGCCAACCCAGCCACCAATCCACATGTCCGTCCAAACGCTCATCGACCAACCGCCCAACTGCCCAACCGCCCAATCGCCCATCCTCCCAACACAGCACCCAAGGCCTACTCATCATGAACCACCCACCCACCCACCCACCCACCCACCCACCCACCCACCCACCCACCCACCCACCCACCCACCCACCCACCCACCCACCCACCCACCCACCCACCCACCCACCCACCACCACCCACCCACCCACCACCCACCACCCACCCACCCACCCACCCACACCCACCCACACCCACCCCCACCCACCCACCACCCACCCACCCACCCACCCACCCACCCACACCACCCCACCCACCCACCCACCCACCACCCACCCACCCACCCACCCACCCACCCACCCACCCACCCACCCACCCACCCACCCACCCCACCGACCACGCCGAACCCGCCAGCCAGTCGGTCCCACACGCCGCCAGCCGCCAAGCCACCAATGGGCTGTTCGGTCATTCGGTCGGTCATGCGGTGGACCAGTCTGTCACCGACCTACTGACTGATTTGGGGGTTGATCAAAAGGTCCTTGCAAGGAGTTATGTATTCGGTGACCATTTGTCTTTGTTTAAATCCCTCCGCGAAAGATCGGCGATGGAGTTCGCGAAAGAAACTTCATTTTTCGCGAAAGATTCCGCGTTGGGTTCTTGGAGGCATCCTGTGCACTTGCATATTTGCAGACCCTGCTCCCTTGTAGACAGGCAGCACTTATACTTGCATTATTGATTCTCATTCCTGTGTTGGGAATTGTGCAAACCAATAACGTTGGCTGGGCTATTTTGGAGCAAGTTTCGCGAAAGATCCGCGAAAGACCGGCGAAAGTCCATGGAGCTTGTTGCAAGGTTCCACACTTCCCCGGCAAAAGCAAGTGACAAGGGCGAATGACGGTGACTGCTTTCTTTTAACGCTACTGCAAGCCTGCCAGCGCAAGTGAACTGCGGCTATTACTGCGTTTGCAAACACAACTGCAGCAGCCACAATGGCTCCAGAGCGCACGCTGCAAACAACAGGGCGTGGCGATGGAGTCGCGAAAGATTCGCGAAAGAAACTTTTTTTCTCGCGAAGATGGCGTTTTCCGGAAACAGGAATATTGATCAACTGCCATTTGTTAACTGACCGACTGACGCACCAACTGACCCACCCAATGCGACCCGCCGACGCCCGCACAGAACCGAACCACCACGCAACCAACAAATCGACCAAGCAACCACCCATGCCAACCCATCGCGTCCCGACCTTTACTTACTACCCCATTCATCCATTAATGTATCCATTGGCCGGTCAGTCAAGCAGACCGCCGAATCTATGCACCTTGCAAGGAGCGAACTTGTAGATACGTGTAGTGGCTGGCAAGAGTTGTGGTGTGCCACAGGGCTGGGAGCAAACAATCGATGGAAGGATGCATTCAAAGATTGTGGTTGTGTCGTGCCACTCCGACTTTGTGGAAAAGTTGCTTGGCTTAGTTTTAGATAATGGCTTTCTTGTACATTGTTAATGCAGGGGACTGCGACCACAGGGCAGGTGGAGAGGCCGAGGTGAAAGGCAAAAGGTGCAGGTTGGGGTAAGTTCGCGCAAGGCAAGAAGTGCAGCCTGAGGTCATTTCTGGAGCCAGATTGGCTCTTTGAGACGCACACTCACCGTTGCGACCTTGGCTTTGATGGGTTTGATGACACAAAGGCCCTTTGTCTGAACAGGTGACTGGACCTCTCAACTCCAGCTGAGGCCTCCTATCATTCGAAACTACCAGGAGCAAGGCTCAGTCAGCACACCTGGACCCAATCCTCCAAAGTTTGCAGGAGCCGCGCTTCATGTCACTTTGGTGAGGGGGTTTAGTAGTCGTTGGTCAGGTCTAGACCATTCGCAGTAACCTCACCGCAGGAAGCAAGGAATATGGAGCAGCAGACGAAGCAAGAGATGGAGAGCTGGCACAAGCAGATGTTTGAGCATGCAGGCGTGGTGAGATGTTTGGGAGGCTAGGGCTTGGTTTGCGGCAGGCTGGATTTCTGCCAGAGTTTTAGCATGCAAATGTCGAGAGCAATGGCCTTCGGGTGCGCGTCATATTGCACCTGAAGCCAAACTTAACCTGATATTGTCATTTGCCAAGCGGTACCAACCAGTCAGCACCTGCATGGAGGTAGCCTTGCAGAATATGCGGATATGCTTTCTGTTTGCGAACGATCCTCCAGCTTCAACAGAATTAAAAAGGAGTGACTCGTTAAGCGTTTGTTTTGTTTTGTTTTTTGTTTTCTCCGTGCACCGTGGGCGGATACTTGGAGCGTGTCTAGTCCTAATGAACCATTCATCTCGCCTGCATGGCCCGATTCATGTTGGTCCATTTGAGTCAGCTTCAACATGACTGTCATATACCTGTGCAAGAGTGCTTCAGGCACATGTTGTTTTTGCTGTTGTTGTTTTTTTCTGGAAAAAACGATGCGCGACGCCGTAACGTCGGAATGAATACACCCCAGGACCCCAGGCAAGCAATTTTGACGCTGTCTCATTTGGCTTTGCATGGTATGTTTTGGTGGGTTCATTGTGGCCGCCGCCGCACGCTCTCATTAGCTACAATGCATGCTGTACGATCCCGATCAATAGGTACATTTCATGCCCCAGGGGGTGTCGCTGCAATCCTTGGGTCAGATGTGGTTTTCTTGGAGAAGGTACGTGTTTGTGTTGCATTGGTTCAGTAGTCGTTCAGCGCGGTCTCTGTATATTAGATTGAGCCGTTTTCGGATTGGAGAATATGTCGGGACAACTTGTTTGTGTTCCCTCCTTATTGGCTAATCGCTGGCCAACGCCAGTCGCCACGGGGCCATGTGCAATCGGCACTGCTTGGTTGTCTCCTTGCAGCCTGGCGTGCGCAGGCAAAAGTTTTCTCACCGCCATCTACCGGAATGAAGCCGCGGCGATCGGGGGTGCGCTGAAGGCTTGCACCCAAGTGCCTCGCGATGCTGCCTCCAAGCATGCCCAAAATGCGCATTTGGCAGTGCACCCACGACTGCCTTGGTCTCAAACACACTTGTTTGAATGGATTCCACCCACAGGCATAGCATTGCAACAAATTGGCAAAATTGCGCCATTTGGCAAGTATAATGATATTAAGGTCGGGTGTGATGAATGCATGATCATCCCAGCTCCGCCGTCCCGCATTCCCACGTCAAGTCCATTTTGCAGGTGCTTGGCGACCAAGAGCTTCGGGCAAGGCAGCAGCAAGTGGCAAAGCTTGAGAAGGACTTGGCAGACGCCAAGTTGGCTGCGCCTGAAGCGCCGGAACCCGAGTCCGACCCAGAGGCACGAGATCGAGCGTGGGCGTGGCGGGTTCGCAGTCGCCTCGTTGGCGCTTGTGTGTGCGTGTGCGTGTGTGTGGATGGGTGGGTGGATGGGTGAGTGGATTTCGAAGTGGGCGAGACCCCTTGGCGCGAGGTGAATGAAGATATGCCCTGCTTCAGCGTAGGTCCGCCACAGTTTGCTGTTCCAGTGTCTCAGCTGCACTGACTGTTGCTGGGAAAAGGCGTCATTCATTGCTCAGGAGATGCAAGCCGGATACCCACAGGAACAACAGACTTTGGCATTGCGGCACTGAAGCAGCTCAAAACCGGGTCAACTGAATATGTGAGAATTGCCAGCCAAGGAAAGGCACAAATTCGCCAACCAGGGCTTGCAAGACAAGTGCAAATACACACACACACACACACACACACTAAATGCACACAGCAACTGCCAATCCCCCAGCAGCTCCAGATGATGTCAACTCCAACTTGTCGAGTGGGCCAGCTAGATATTGTTCCCCTTGTGATTGGGCTCATGTGCAAGGAAGTCATGAGTCGCATTGGTCAGTTTGTCTATTTGTGTCAGCCGCACTCAGCTTTGCTTTGAGGAACTGAAGCTGGAAATCCGTCGCGCGCTCCCGCGGGAATGGGCACACTTCCGGGAACATCACTACAAGGCACGGGTTTGCTCTCGTGCGCCTATGCCTCTGCGTTTTCGGGCCAGGACCATTCGCTACATACCTGCTGCGTTGCCTTCGTGGCGCTCCTGGACGGCAGGGCATGCTGCTTCTGCTCGGTATTCGCGGAGTCCTTCAACTGGGTGCAGCGCGCCGTATTCTCATGCCCGGGCCCCAAGGAAGCTTTCGGTCCCTTTCGCATGACTCACTTGTTATTTCAAGAGGACCAAGCCTGCGAGCTGCCGCCAAATGTCAAACCGCTTTGTTGCTTAGTTTGTTTCGTTCCGAATTCCCATACGCTGCCGATTGACAAATTACGTCTACTCCATTCTTGGCTGGAAGCTATGCGCTGTGAATACGTCTGCGTGCTTCGAGGCAACGCGACCACCCGGGAGGAGTGGCACCAGGCCAGGCAGCGCATGCAGCCTGAGCCACGCAGCAAGTGGCCGCATTTCCTTTGGATCGCAGGTGGGCTACCCGTGCACCTGGCACGGAAAAAACCGGAAGCTGTTCCGAGAGAACCGGACGGTGGTACTGCCAGACTTCCAGGGGATGGGCATCTTGCCCGAACTTGGAAAAGGCTATTGTTATTGCTGGGGCTTTTGTTGCCACTGCATTCACCGCCGCTGCACGCGCCAAATTGTGCTGCGCACGTCCCATTCGAAGTACACGTAACATTGGACTGTCATGTTTTTCAACACGTGTTAGTGAGGGTCATCCCAGGCCATCTCAATATGGCAGATGTGTGTTCCATCCAAAGTTCCAAACTCTGGCAGGGCAGGACCGCTTGGGTAATGCAAGTGCCCAGGGCTGGCTAGGTTTCGGCTGCCTGCTGCACCGTCTTGAGCCCCCATTGAGCACCAGTTGGGAGGCAGATTGTTTGCGGTGCATATTGGGAGCAAGGCCTCGCATCGCTGACCTGCGACACCGTTGGCGCCTACCTGCTGAACTGTGAATGCGATTTCACGTCACAAACCGTGCATCCCTACTACGGAAGCTATAGGCAGCAGCTGCTTTAACAGTTGAATGCCCTCGAGGGCATTGCACGGTTTCGGCGTGTTTCGGCAGCATTGCCAGAGCTGCATTTGGGTATGTGCTGCGATCAGGGATCGAAGTCCTTTCTGGCGTGCCCTGCCGTCAAACAGAAATGGCAAATATGCAACTTGGCAAGGCGAGTGCCAAGTTCGCAAACTTTCAATACGATGTCGCATGTCCAAGTTGCTTTTCCGTCAGCCTTGCTATTTATGTATTTCCTGGCTTTCAGGTTAAGAACGGGAACCTCAAGTACTCGCATGCCACAGTCTCAGCCTTGCCATGCTTTCAGCAGTTACTGTAACAGGAACTGCATGCCGCATTGAGCATGAGGCATTGAGGTTTAACACGGCTTGTGTGCATGATTATTCATAGTGTCCAGCTTTGCGCTAAGCATACTCAATTGTTTGGCATCAATCTTGAGAGCTCTCCTTGGCCTTGGACTCAGGTGTTTCTTGGCGCGTACACCCCCGACGGCAAGCAAGATTCAACGCGGTTGCGCGAGTTGAGGCATGGACCCGTGTTTGTTGAAAGAAACAAACCAAACCTTCCGTGAAGAAAAGTACGTATGCTGAGTTTGGTCCAAACCACTGGACACGGCGTATATAGCGAAACCAAACCAGGACGCTTCCTAGCCCGCGTGCCTTCACTGAGACCTTGCTCATCATTGTATGAGCGATGCCTACACCTTGAAGCACTTCTCGGGGGCAGCCCAAGGCTTTGAAAATGCCTTTAAACTTTAGCCAGTTGCTTGGCAACACTGTAAAACGATGTAGCGAACCGAAACGACATCTTTCTTCCGTTTCTTCCAGAATGTGTTTTCCCAAAAATACATTTTTGCCCCTCGCTCAGATGCAGATGTAGAACATGCGTGGTGGCCGATCTTGCCCCCCCCCGGTCCTTTCTGTATCTTGGCGGATTGTTTCTGGGAGCGGGTTTCGAGAAGGAGCTGACTTTCGCCGATGCAGCGGTAACAGGGCTGGCACTATGCCTGGCGAACTTGTTTCTTGTCAACTAAGCTTGGTGAAAGTACGTCTTTTTAACTAAGCCGATGAAACTGCTGCTTTGCAACTAGCCCTTACGAAAGTGTGCCTTGTCAGCTAAACCCGGTGAAAGTGCTTCTTGCCAGCTAACCCACATCTTTCTGTTCGCATGGTGGTTTTTGAGCTCGCGCCTTTGATTACAAGCGTCAGACGCAGGTTCCCAATAAACATGCGCTGGTGTCTCTTTCCAGACCGAACAGCTAGCAGTACAATTTCTTCCCAGGAAAACCGATGTAGCAGAGTGGTTTCCGGCATCACGCCTCGTGACAATCGCATCACTTCGTAAAATACCCTGGGAGCGTTGCGGGAGCTGCTGTGGGCTTGGACTGCGGCTTAGTTGACACGACGCACGTTCGCCGGGTTTGGTTGACCAGAAGCACCTTCACTAGGCTTAGCTGACAAGAACCGCTTTGACCAGGCTGAGTTGGCAAGCTCTTTCGTCAGGCTTAGTACCCTTGCTGTATCACATGTTAATCAAGGCAATTTTGGCATCAAGCAATCCTGGCCGTGTAGAACCACTATGTCAAATATATGTGTGTGCTTGTTAATTTGACTGAGCAAGTACACCTCAAAGAACTGAGGTCTCACTTGTGCTGGTTGCTACACCATATGTCTACAGTTCTCAGGGGCGTAGGCCGCAAAAATCCGCGACAACTGATGGCACCGTCAAGAGACCCCCAAACAGCGGTTGAAAAGTGAACAGGAACCCATGCAAGCATCATGAAAGTAGCCGCAGCCGATGCACGCAGGGTCTCTATAGGTCTCGCACGCGCTCTTCTTCAGAAAACATTCTGTCGAAAGAGGTTCCGCGCAAGATTCATCTAACAGAAATTTGACTACTGTTTCTGCAAATTCCTGGGCAAGATCTCTGTGGAAGGATCTTTGCAGGATCTGCGGACGGGGGTCTCTTGAAAGGATGTCTTGGCAAGACCCTGTGCGCAGGGTCTCCGAGAGAACCCTGCACAAGCTCTCGCTGCAGGATCGCAATGTTCAAAATTTGCACGGAGGCACAGCCAGAACCATCTAAAAGTCTGCAGAGGGCTCACCTCACTTTCGATGTTCAAGGCTGCACCACAGCAAGAGCAATCTGGTCCTACCCAAAGTCCGCAGAGGGCTCACTCGCGATGTTTAAAATGTGTATCGCGCCACAGCGACAGCAATTTCAAGCGCCCAAAGTGCGCAGAGGGTTGATTTTAATGCTAAAAATCGCACCGCGCCACCGCGAGAACGATCCAAAGTCCGAAGAGGGTTCGCCGATCAACCGTTTTCGGAATTCGCACGGCACCACGGCGAGAGCACACCCTCGAAAGACACCAAATTCGTCTACACACCTAGCGCGAGCCAGCGCAATCGAAATGCACATGAACATCTTATACGGGAACTTTTGCGCGAGCCTGCGTCGAAGTGAATTTCAAGATTTTGCAAAGTCACGATTGTACGGAAGTATTATCAAGCGTGCTTCAGACCAACCTCGATCTAACGCCGGCTTGTTTTTTGCCGCAAGAGCCCCTTAGTGTTGACACACTGCTTGGGGAATTGCAGCCGTCCATACGCCATTGCTTGCCTCACGCATCGGACATGGAAGGCGTCGTGCCCAACTGTGCCAAGATCAACCCTCTGCACCTCGGCTTCAATGCTTTGGGCTGTGCAGCGCATGTCATGGGGCAATGCCGACGCTGAGCCTCTTTGAGCCCAGCTGATCTGCTTCATTCGCTTGGGAAGCAGTGCCGTTGCTGCTGACGGAGCCGTCAGTGCTTCGAAGTTGAGGTGCTTGTGGGTAACATTCCCGAGTTGAACTAGCTCTTTCGAATGCCTGCAGGAGCCGATCCTCAGAAGCCTCAGAAGCGTTGAGCAAAAGTGTTGGTTTGGTGCATCCAAAGCTGAAACGCATAAGTAAGCCAAAACAATCCAGTCTTGGAGCGAGTTCGTCGACAAAAAGTCGTAACACACTCGTGGACAAAATTGACAAATGGATGCTCTCTTGGGCTGGTCGCATTGCTGCCTCAAAATCTCACAAAATGGCCTACTTGCTTTCAGCTCAAGCTTTCTTCAGGATGACCTGCGGGTGCACCAGGTCAACTTGGCTATACCTTTGAAGCGCGGCTTCGATGGGGCCTGTTTTGAATCGAGCTGACTGCGGTCAGGACAATTTTTTGAAAAATGCTCGGCGGCATGGCAGAAAGTCATGCTGGCACTGCGGGCATTGAGTTCCGCTGCACTGGGCTTCCTGCCACGTTCCCATTCACCTGAAGGCGTGAAGAGCAAATAGAGGCCACGGCTTTTTGGAAGGCGGTGCAGTTGAAGCACTGAGTGTGCTGTAGGGTTCATTGCAAAGACAATGAGGGGGCAGCCTGCCGGGGGTGCAGAGGCTGAAATTTGGCCTGCAGTTGCCTTCAGTTTGTGGGAGGGACTGGAAGGCTTGAGTTTGCAGTGACCTGCGGAGGGCAAGCTGAGGGGTTGTGCTTAACGTTGGTGACATTTGATGGATGTAACATGTGGCGCGCTGGCCGCTTGCTAAGAGCTCAAGCCTCATTCAGCATTACAGCAACCAACGGCGCTGTTGACCGTCCGACGTCCAAGGTCTCCCTCTTGCACTGTTCATTCACAGCTGTGTTGCGAACCGTCACAATTAGGCGAGGGTGTTTCTTGGTGTGTTTCGAAACTCAGCAGCAGATCTCCCCTTCAGCTGGGATACCAGCAAGTGCATTTGCTTATGCCCCTTTTACACAAGCTCAGCATGCTTTCTTCTCTTGCCCGACTGCAGACTGGCCTTATTCAGCTTGGTCTCGCGCGTGGTGAAGGCTGCTTGCCGGCCCACTACTGAAAGCACAGGGTTCGTTTTCGTGTCTTGGCATTTGACCAGCGGAGGGCTAGCTGCCAATCTTTTTGGCAGCTCCTTTCGCATGGCTGCTGATGGTACGCTACCGCCTGCAGCTTTGCCCTCTTGCAGCCCGGGGCCAAGCTCGTGAAGCCCAACTGGTAGCACTTGGCAAAGAAACACAGCACTATGCTTGCAAATGTGCATGTTCAATTTCTGGGGCTGCAATAACCGCCCTGCGGTCAAGCCGGCTGCCGGGTTTGATTTGTTTACGCAGTAACACGCACGTGGCTTTGCACAATAGGCAATTTACCGTGGAGCAAAACAAGTTTAAGACGTGCCTACAGCCTGTAAGTCCAATGCCCACAGAAATGCCTTTCATCGTTGGCCCACAGTTTTGCTCATGCATCTACATTGCGCAAAGGTTTGGCACAACATGCCACTCAAGAATGTGCTGTCGCAAGGGACGTTTGCAGCGACAGCCTTGGCTACTGTGCCCAGCACTGAGCCAAATTGCGATGCGTGCCAGAGCTTGTTGCTTGTATTGTCAGGCTTTAGATTGTTGTTGAGCCTCGGTGGCGCAGGCTTGTGCATTCCCTTGGTGGCTTTAAGCCTGCTGCTCCTTGCAGATGTGTCTGGGATGTGCAGGCCTGAGTTGCGTACGAGCGGAGTTAACAACCTGACGCAGCTAATGGCCTTATCTCAGTACATGCAGCCTGCACTGAGGAGCGCGCCTTATTTCCAGTGATGCGCTCAGTCAGATGTTGCCTGACAGATTGAACACCTGAGCAGAGAGTAGAACCCGGCATGAACAGGTTTGTAAAGGGTGTCCAGCAAAGGTGGTGTGCGGAATCTTTGTCATTGTAGCGTTAGCTTCGCACACAATGTGTGCACGAGCATAAAGGGAAAGATTGCACTGATTGAACTGTAGGGTTGCCCTAGTTGCAGGTGCCAATTCTTGTCAAGTGCTTCTCCTAGAGACGGCCAAAACAAGTCAAACAGAAACAGAGAGCAACGGCATGTTCTGATCATTCAGACATTAAGGTTAGTGGAACGAAATGCGTCGGTTTCGCAAATAAATGTTTGCTTGTCCCCAAAGAGGGAGAAGTTGCCACCGAACCGTTCTCTTCGGCTGTTGGGTCGCCCGAGTGTTGCGGGCGCAGAAAGAACCTGATTTCAAGCTCAGAGATCCAGCACCAGCCTTTTCCAAAAGCAGAAGCTTACTCGATGCCTAGGCCAGAACCAGAGGCAGAGGTCCATGCTGGACTCCCAGGAGCCGCAAGCCACGTTGCACGTAGGATTTCTCACGTGTGACTCGTGGCGTGCGGCAGATGAACTTGGTGCTGCAAACATGGGCCTTGCAAATCTATTTGCAAGCTAGGAGGTGTTCAAGGTGGTTTCAGGGACGCAGTTGATATTGAGTTGCAGCCTTTGAGGTCCCTGTCTCCCCGCGCCAATCTCAGAGTGATGTTTGCTTTTAGTTGTCCTGTCCTTGAGCCCTTCTGAGTAGCCAGCATCAACCAGACGAGCTATGCCTCAGCATGCATTCCAGGCTGCTCTTGGTGGCATGCATGTTCCCCATTTCAGACCGAGGATCATTGCGCAGGGTAGGCGGGCAAGAGTTGTCCTCTCTGTGTGTGTGTGTGCTCGTGTTTGCTTATTTGAACTTGTTGTTATTGTGTTTGCTTGTTTGTGTGTTTGTTTGTTTGTTTGGTCGCACATCAGTGTGTTTGTTTTTGTTGGTTTGGTTGGCTGGTTGGTTGGTCGCTTGCTTGGTTGTTTGGTTTTGCTTGATTGTTTGTTAGTTTGTTTGCTTGTTTGTTTGCTTGTGAGTTTGTTTGTTTGTTTGTTTGTTTGTTTGTTTGTTTGTTTGTTTGTTTGTTTGTTTGTTGTTTGCTTGTTTGCTTGCTTGCTTGCTTGCTTGTTTGCTTGAGAGTTTGTTTGTTGGTTGGTTTGTTTGTTTGTGTGTGTGTGTGTGTTTGTGTGTGTGTGTTTGTTTGTTTGTGTCTGTGTTTCTTTGTTTGTTTGTGTGTTTTTGTGTGTGTTTCTTTGTTTGTTTGTTTGTTTGTTTCTTTGTTTGTTTGTGTGTGTTTGATTGATTGTTTGGTTGGTTGTTGCCTTGATAGCACCTCTCCAATTTACATAGCCAGGTTTTTCGTTTGGGGGGCGCGCATTTGCCCAAGAACAAGATGTGTGCATGCCTCGTCGTGAACGATGGGGAGCAACACGCGGTGAAGCTTGACTGGGGGACCGCTGATCCTTGATCCCTCCAACTTGCCATGCTGCCCGTCGAGAAGCAGACATTGGCAGTTCACCTTCCCCCAGCCACAGGCCGGAAAAGCAGCAGCCTCTCACAGAGGCGCCACGCTTGACAGGTGTGTTGTAGGATACTTGTCCAACTCGCGCATGTGGTAAGACAAACGCATAGGATACTGTCGAACATAGTCCTGCAACAGGGGTCATGAGGAATCACATGATGTAACACATGTGTTAGTCTTGGCTAGGCGCTTGCAGCCATGGAGCTGTGTTGGCTCAACATAGGTAGGATTAGCTAGGGAGCAGCTTGGATTCTTGCCCGGGCGGCCTGTAGTCGCCAGCAATGGGCACGAAGCAGAGGAAGGCCCCTTGCCAGTTGCAGTAGTTGAAGTCATGAAGTGAAAAAAGCTCTAGCTTTTTGAGCTTACTTTGCAGGCTTACGGTGTAGCGCAGCCACGGCCCATTACCAAGCCTTTGTCCCTTAAAGTGTTGGGGTTCAAGCTTGGGCTGCACACCGCAGAGATTCCGGTTGGTTGCAGTGCTTTGTTTGAGGCCCTTCGCAAGAAGCAGGTTGGCCTGGCCCAGAGTCGCCTCAACAACACAGATGCGCGTCTCAAGGAAACTACGAGTCTCGGCACTGTGATGTGGCACACAGTGCAATCTTTCTGACTTTGCTGCCAATCGCGTCAATGAGAGGCTTTGCGTTTGCGCACTCCCCGCTAGTGGATCCTGGGCCGGTTGCTGGAAGTCAGCAAGTTTTTGGGCAGGGTAGATATCACATTCAAAAAGGCAACAGCAGACTCACGGTTCGCCCGGTTGACTCCACGCTAAGGAAAGCCAAAGTGACCATCAAGATGCTTGGCCGCAACTGATACAGCCAGTCGCCAGTTTTCTGCTGGCAAACTTCTTGGCAACTGTACAGACTCCAACGTGAAGGTCCTCAGGCTTGCCACGCACAGGCGGCTCACAACCCGCAAGCAAAGTCAGGGGGGCCTGCAGCACGCAAGAGGCAGGACACGTGGAGCAGACTTTGAACAGTCGGGCAGGCAGGCTCAAAAAACGTGAACACGCGGGCTCGGCACGACCCAGGAAGAAGAGGAAGAGAAGGAATGCCCAGGAGGAGCCTGAGGTTCGAGAAGCACCAAAGGCCAATTCTTCGCTCTTCTTCCAGTACAATACCAACTTGAAGCCGCCGTATCAGCTGCCACGCCCTCATGTTCCAGCAGTGGCAGGAGTAGTCATGAGATTCATGTGGTGAGCCTGCCTGTGGCAGTGTCGCTGTTTGTTTATTGCAGTGATCTCGCTTGGACATCAAGAGAGCGGCACGCACTGAGGCTGCTAGACACAAACTTCATCAATATGTCCATCCAAATGAAGCTGGACATTTTCAAGTCAGCCATGGAGTGCTTGCTTGCTAAATGCGTCCCGTGCATTACGGACTGCTGCTTGCTCCGCATTAAGTCAATTTGCATGGGGAGGACGGTTACTGGCAGTTGAAACGGCCTGCAGCTGGCCACTCACATTTCGAGCGTTGAACGCTCCATTGAGCTTCGCTGTCAAGACAAATGAGCATGTTTCTACAGCACAGATGTCCGTGGAAGCGACAATCCCGGGTGGAGCCCAGGCTCGTGAATACATTTGCTAGACGGAGCAGGGTTCAACCCTGTTGGAAGTAAAATCATGTTGCTTCTCTCGCCATTCGGCGTGACACTGGTCTCACAGGTGGTTTCCTAAATCTTTGTAGGCCCCCCAAAGGCATTTGCTCAGGCGCTGAGGCTTGTTCAATACGAATGCTCTTGCTACCCGTTGGAGTCAAGCTGGTTCAAGCATTGCATGCAACAGTGTAGAGGCTTCTGTAGCATTGGGCTTGTGACAGAGGCGGTACTTCAACATGCTGTACAAAAAATACCGCCTCGGAATCTGGTTGAAAGCGCACATAGGTGCAGTGTATGAATACTTGGCCGGCCCTGCGCCGAAAACAAAAACACTTCTTGTCCTCGGCGTTGCACGTAGGATAGGGTAGGCTGAAGCTTTATGTGGTGCAGCCAGCTTTGCAGCTTGTAGATTCCAATCAGCTGTAGATCATTAGATCGATTGTCACAAATCCTGCTGGCCATTGGCAGCATAAGTGCAGACATCTCTCGATGCAACCTCAGAGCAATCTGCTCTGCTGGTTGTGCCTGCATTGTGCAAACCGAAGGCTGGGCTTGCTAGTCGCCCAAGTAGTTCTGCTTTTTTGTTGAGGCCGATGGTGGAACTTTGAGTGCTGAAGGGGAGACGCATTGCTGTGTTGCATTTAGCCCAGCATTTGGCGCCGGGTTGGCTCTGCGATTCGCATCAATTCATCATGCCAAGGCGTCTACGGTGAGCTCGAAAAGATGGGCACGCGGCACAGACTAGCATTGCGACTTGCCAAAGACCCTCGCAGCTCGGCTCATCTGTCAGTTCAAAGGGGACTAGATGCGGACCAGATGGGGAGCAGGTCAAGCAAAAAAAATCGAATACACTGAAGAACGGCCTTTGGGAGACCGTGGCACTGGCGGTAGCCAGCGCACTTTTGACTAAGAGTCGGGACATGATGCGCAGGATACGGCATGTATGCCTGACTTGCCAAGGTTTTCATCGGCTTACTTGTCAGCACAAGGGCATTTACGCGGATGACTGCATTCACTCCCGGGTAGAAGCGCACAAGTGCTACATCGTTTGCACCAACGACAAGGATCTCAAGCGGAGAATACGAAAAGTTGCTTGACACAAGGTCCTATCGACCACATTGCGTAAGCGAACCAAGCTGGCTTTACAAGCCCCAGTGCTTACCCCGGTTATCGTTTGAAGAACTTTGCTAGGAAACGTTGTGCCCAGGTGCCTGGCGTGCCAATCATGTCTGTGGCCCGTGGCATGTTCAAAGTGGAGCGCGTCCCGGAGCAGATTGACAGGGTGCCCATTAAGCCTGGTGCTCAGTGTGAGCTCCGCCTCCCCTCACCCCACATGTTTGTACTATTCCGCAGTTGTAGGGATATGCCTCATGCCGAGATGCACAGAAGGCTCGGAAATCTAGCTAAGTTTGAAGGCTAGTTGAGGGTGAACTCGGCAAATGCAGGCGTATAGCTTCTTTGACGACATGCTGAAATAGTGGGTTGATCCAGTTCTGATTCACACTGTGAACCACAAATCATTTGCAGGTCGAACTGGGGCAAGGACAAGTGAACATGGGCGGCTGAGCCTTGGGCAAGTATGGTTTGCGAGCGTGCGCCACTCTTCTCCGTGTTTTTGCTTTGCAAGCTTTGGATTTCTCTTAGCATTGGCAGTTTTTGCCGAAGCTCGTAAGTCGCCGACATGCTCCCAATAGCTCTGCAGTTTCAACTCTACAAGCTGCTGCGCGCTAAGACGGCTTGCAAGAAACAGTCTTGTGGCATGGCGCGCTGCAAACTTCCGGGCGTGGCCTGCCGGCAGGCACCCACTCCAAAGTGCCAGGCCAGGCTTGGCGGATCTTGGCATTGATGGCTCGATGGCTTGGGATGCTGCTGAGGATATCTCAAGACGCACCCTCCGTAAGCGCACGAAGAATGGACAGAATGTGCAAGCTTGAGCAAGGGCAAGTAAAACCGAACATGCCTGGATTGATTTTTGTTCGCGCGGCCTAGGCTCAACCCGGCCAGCTTTGTGCAATCCGCGGTGAGCAATGCATCAAGTGTTACCAAGAAAGCGAGGCAACTAGCAGACACAGCCTCGCAACAACTTAAGACTTCTGGTCTCTCCCAATTTCTTTTCGCGCCTCTCATTTGAAGCCCAAACTCGTGGGCAAATGGCCATGCTTGAAGCCCAGCTCCGAAAATGCAAGTGAGGCATGGGCATGTCAGCTTGATCTGTGCGGATGGGCCAACGCTATGCCCCTTTGGATACCCAGGCTGGCAGGCGTAGTTGTGGCAATTCTGATTCTGTCAATTTCTGGCTTTGCGTCTTTAGCTGTCTGCATTGTGCAGGTGGCGGATCAGGCTGTGCTGCTGCCGGCGTGCACCTGCAGAGCTATCCGCTGCTTGGCGAAGGATGTTTTAAGATCTTAGCCATGCAGGTAGCTGGATGCAGCAAGTTGACCGCCATGCATCAATAGTTTTCCCGTTATCAAGTCCTTCAGGACAAGAGCTGCACTTGCCCTATTCAAGTTGCCTGTCCAAGGCTTCCGAGGCACTGGCGCCGCACCAGGCTTGGACGAAAGGACTCTTCGCTGGCCTTTGTTCACTTTTGCTTTCTGCTAGTTCTTGGTGGTTTCGTGGGATGATCTTGGATGCATGCCTGAGCAAGTTTTGGGGATGCAGGCGCGCCCACCGGCACCTCAAGAGCCAGCTGCCCTGCAGGCAAGCAAGTCAGAGGAGATCGAGGCTGGCTTCGCTCTTGGATTGCAGCTGTTGTGGAAATGAACTTTTGTGGTGCAAGAGCTTCTGCATTTGCATTCCCAGTGGGGCCGAGATTGATTAAGAAGCTGCGCAGCGATTCCAGGAGTATCATTTCCTCTGGCTTTAAGCATCACAATTTTTGGGGCCAGCTTGTGTTACAGCCAGTCTCCGTTTGGTGGTGTGATGAATGTGTGAAGAGAACATACTGTGGATGGGCGGAATCCTGCACCACCTAAGAAGCCATGGGAATCCATTGTCCATTCGTATTTGCAGGAGAACCTGTTTGACAAAAGGAGCATACGTTGATAGCATAGCTATTCGTCTTAAAGATTTCCACAAGCCTTCCGATGGAGGGCGTAATGCAACAAACAGATCACGCAATGATCGCAGACTGCCTGCCTTGGGGGTTATCTTGTGTAGGTGGCCTTTGTAGGTGGCCTCGGAAATGAATGTCAACTGCACAGCAAATAGGCTACAGTTGTTTGCAGTCAAGTTGCGGTTACGTTGCTATCAGCACCGTTGGCTGTGGTTCAGAGCACCCGGAGGTGCTGGGGGAGCAGGATTCGAAGGAGGCCGGTCACATTGAGAGTCGGTGAGTGCAAATGTCCCAGTCATGGACGACTGACTGGCCGTATTTGGCCGTCAGGATATGTCAGGGTTGTGCAATGTGTTCCCCGAATGTGGCCTTGAAGGTCTCGCTTATGAGGGAAGCGGCCTGCCGAATTTGCCTGGAGCCCGCCAGCCCCGCAGAATACCAGGCCAGGCACCTTGCCGATGGGCGCGTTTGTGGGCTCATTCCAGCACGAGCATGCGCAAAATGTGTAACTCATGCATGACGCCTTGTATGAAATGTATGGTGCACTGTATGCAGAGTGATATAGTGTAGTGGGATGCAATGTTCTTTAATGTTGTGTTGTGCAACATAATGCAATACCATGCCGTGTTGTGTAGCCAATATAGTGTAAGTATTGTATGAATGTACAGCATGCATCTATGCATGTAATGTATGCAAGTAATGTAGCGTAATGTGATCTTGCGTGACGCAATGTCCGTAGCAATGTTGGCTTGACTCATCTTACGTACGCACGCCGTCCCGCAAACGCTGAGGGCGTGACCTAGCGCTGCATCATTACCAACCCGCTCCTTGCCTGTGCTGCCAACCGGCAGTTGTCACATCACCCGCCGTGGGAGGTGGACTTGCAGACAATTCACGCATCCCAAGGCCCGTCCGTTGGGGCGTTCTGCCGGCTCCTACGCCTTCAGTGCAATTGGCAACAGAAAGCAAACGTGTGCCTTTCTTGCATTTGTTATTGCATGCGTTGCTTAGCAAAGACTTAGGCGCCTGCTTGCGCGCACGACACTCGCAGCAGCAAGCAGACAAGCGCACTTCTTGTATTTGTTCCGTGTGCGTTTCTTGTAGTTGTTCGTGCGTGTTTTTGCACTGGATTGAAACATGTTGTTTAGCCATGATTTGCGCGCCTGCGTGCGTGCGAGACGCCGCAGCAGCAAGCAGACGACCGCGTGCGTTTCTTGTATTCTTGCAGTTGTTCTTGCATGCTTCTGCACTGTTTTGAAACGTGTTGCTTAGCAAAGATTTAGGCGCCTGCTGCGAGTGTTGCGCTCGCAGAAGCAAGCAGACAAGCACGCTTCGTGTAATTGTTCCGCGTGCGTTTCTTGTAGTTGTTCTTGCATGCTCCTGCGCTGTTTTGAAGCATGTTGTTGGGCGAAGATTTAGGCGCCTGCTTACGCACGCAGAGCAAGGATATTTTGCGTATAGGCAGTTTGATCGTGTCGATAAAGCACGTTGAGTCGCCGCAATTAATTGAGAAAACTCAAGGCGAGAATCGTTTTCAAGACGACGTTCGTGATGAGTGAAACAACATTGCATCTCTCCAAGAGGTAAAAAGCCTAGAGCCCGCCCCTTGATGCAACCTTGCATCAGAAGTCGCAAACCTTTGCATGCGCACCCAGAGTCGGGATTTTACTGGGACAAACAGTTGATGTCTGCAAGGAGTTAATTATTTGGACTTGTTTCAGTCGTCATTTTGGCTCACGATATGAAAAATATCATGCCCCCTTCTGCGGAAGTCAAAAGTTTGTGTGACCTTTACCGTGAACTTAGCTGGAAGGAGCAGAAACAGCTCAGGCACCGTTCTTGCCAGAAGGCTCCGCAGTCGCTTCCGATTATGAAAGCAAAGCGGCGCTATCTGAGACACCCAAACGAATCCTGATGCGAGTTTTGTGACGCGCAAGACTGGTTCGCCCCGATCTCCTGAAACCGGTAAGCGATCTTATTCGCCGCTTGCGGACGATTTGCAGCAGCTCCTCGCTTGACGCTAGCTAGCCACATTAAGGACGGAGTTGCAAACCCTAGCAAAAACCTCTACACGGACCCTTACCGCGCCAATCACACCGGGCATGCTCAGAGCACGTCCAGAGCGCACATCGCTGGTGCTCATTGACTGCCATCAATGAACATGTTATGATCCGCCTGCTCATCCCTCCTTCCGCGAGTGCCCATTCATTGCAGCGCGCCACCACTTGTTTTTTTGAAACACAAAAGTTGACTGTATCAGGATTGGCTTGACCGTTCTTCTCGAAGCTTGCATGCCGGACAGGCAGTGATCAAGAATCGTCATGTGTGGGGCGAAACAGCCACAGAGAATTGCGATGGCCTTGACTTGGCTCGCTTCTTCAAATTGGGGGGCAGTAAGAAGCTATGTTTGCGCGTGTGTAGTATATGATGCAATGTTTGCAACGCCTGTACTGTACGCTCGTGGCGCGTGTGATGTGTAATGGCGCGTCACGTCGCGTCATGTCGTGCAACGCCTAGAATCGCGCAACGTAACGTAATAGGGTGTGCGCTGCAGTTACACATGTAGCCAATGGCTTTAAGTGTCGTGTTTTGCTGTGCATGATCCAGCGCTGCCTTCAAGGTTTGCGCCTGCCGGGGATCGCGCCTTGAAAGCATGAGGGCCTAGCTCTCGCCGTTGGCTGTTTTGCAACTGATGTTGTGGCCGGCGGCGGGCTCCTCTTTTCCCACTAGTAGATGAGACGCTGGCTGGTTGAGAGATGGGTAAAGTTCAGCCCCACCTGCCGCTTGGTCAGCTTAAAGCAGAGACGGTATGAGGTCCTGTGCCCAACACTTTGTCTCCTTCCTGGTATTGCTGCGGAACTTTTTCGGCCCCAGTTTGGATGTCTGTTTTCGCAAGTTTTATTGGCGTTGGCAGGCCAAGCAACCTTTTCTGCATGCCTGCGTGCGTGTTTGTGTGTGTGTGTGTGTGCGTGCGTGCGTGCGTGCGTGCGTGCGTGGGTGGGTGGGTGGGTGGGTGCATGGGTGCATGGGTGCGTGGGTGCGTGGGTGCGTGGGTGCGTGGGTGCGTGGGTGCGTGGGTGCGTGCGTGCGTGCGTGGGTGCGTGCGTGGGTGCGTGGGTGCGTGGGTGCGTGGGTGCGTGGGTGCGTGGGTGCGTGGGTGCGTGGGTGCGTGCGCGTGCGCGTGTGTGTGTGTGTGTGTGCGCGTGTGTGTGTGTGTGTGTGTGTGTGTGTGTGTGTGTGGGTGCGTGCGTGCGTGCGTGCGTGCGTGCGTGCGTGCGTGCGTGCGTGCGTACGTGCGTGCGTGCGTGCGTGCGTGGTACGTGGGTGTGTGGGTGTGTGTTGTGTGTGTGTGTGTGTGTGTGTGTGTGTGTGTGTGTGTGTTGTGTGTGTGTGTGTGTGTATGATTATGTGTGTATATGTGTGTGTGTGTATCTGTTGTGTGTGTGTGAGTAGTGAGTGTGTGTGTGTGTGTGTGTGTGTGTGTGTGTGTGTGTGTGTGTGTGTGTGTGTGTGCGTGCGTGTGTGCGTGTGTGCGTGTGTGCGTGTGTGCGTGTGTGCGTGTGTGCGTGTGTGCGTGTGTGCAGGTGTGTGCAGGTGTGTGCAGGTGTGTGTGCGTGTGTGTTTGTGTGTTTGTGTGTTTGTGTGTTTGTGTGTTTGTGTGTTTGTGTGTTTGTGTGTTTGTGTGTTTGTGTGTTTGTGTGTTTGTGTGTTTGTGTGTGTGCGTGTGTGTGCGTGTGTGCGTGCGTGCGTGTGTGCGAGTGTGC